AACTTTTTAATACGGTGCTAGAACATGATTTTAAGAATTTGGATGACAAAGGGAATAAAAATAGATGGAGAATATCTAAACAACTTACGTTTCGCCGATGATATACTTATAATAGCTGAAGATCTATGTATGGCAAGAGAGATGGTACAGGAACTCGTTGTGGCTACAGAAAATGTAGGTTTAAATATAAATATCTCGAAAACAAAAATCATGACCAATTTGGTACCCAACCAGAACATCAGTATTGGTGGGAAAGAAATAGAACTCGTAGATAGATATAAATACCTGGGACATGAAATTATGATTGGCAGGGATAACCAGACTCATGAACTGAAGAGAAGAATCGGCCTTGGGTGGGCAGCATTTGGAAAACTGAGAGAAACTTTTAAAAGTGAGCTGCCCACATGCCTAAAGAGAAAGGTATTTGATCAGTGCGTCCTCCCAGTCTTGACGTACAGAGCAGAAACACTTACCTTAACAAAAGCAGCAGTTACCAAACTGAGAGTCACGCAGGGAAGAATGGAGCGGTCCATGTTAGGAATAACTCTGCGAGACAGAATAACCAACGAAGACATCAGGAGAAGAACCGGAGTGACTGACATCATCGAGAACATAGCCAGACTAAAATGGAGATGGGCAGGACACATAGCCAGAACGACAGATGGGCGATGGACAAAGAGGTTATTGAAATGTAGGCCAAGGAAAGACAAGAGAAGCGTCGGTCGACCACCTACAAGATGGACTGACGATTTAAGAAGACTCAATAAAAACTGGATAAGAGCGGCGCAAGATAGACGGGGTTGGAAACATGAGGAATAGGCCTATGTTCAGCAATGGACTCTTGAGGTTGGATGATGATGATGATAATTCTTATAGCCGACATACGTTTGACTCACATGTTTTGATTTATTTCCTATAATAAGAATGATGACGATATGCAAAGATCCGGCGGATCGACTGTACCTATATAAGATCGCTACACTCGTCTCAATCACACAAAATATTATTTTGGGCCCGTGCAAACATATACGGGCATATCGAGCGATAGGTATTTATTCACTTCAGATTCAAGATTAATATGCCACAACAAAGTGGCTTCAGAATAATAATAAAAATATTGTTTATACCTACGTATATAAGCGGCAACAATACTTTTCTTTTAGTCAAGTGTTATCTTTGACTTACCTGAAACAAAAAAAAAAAAAATTAGAATGTACAATAATATACTATTACTGTGATACTTCTAACAGTATTTAACAATAAAATTGTATTAATTATACTTGCAGTGAAAACATTGCAAGATATCTTCCTCAATCTCAAAATTAAAATCTCAACATTGACAATCATATTACGGAAGAACTTTAACCAATAAAAGGAACAGAACGAAACTAGCAAGTCCTATTAGGACAAAAAAGAATTAAAACCACAACTCAAACTGTACAAGGACATTAACGACATTTTTTAGAAAGAGCGACTCAGTATTAAATAGATTTGAACAGCGATGAAAAAACTCTATGATTGTGTAGCTGAAAATGATTATCATTATTCATGAACTTTTTTTTTTGTAATAAAAATACAACCATTTTGTTCTCAGAGTTGCATTCTGCTGTATTCAATCCTGTATCCTTCAATAACTACGCTCGTGGTATAGTATATTCAGTGTCTGTGAAAACGACAATTACACTCAACTAATGTGTTGCGAATCAAAATAAACGTAATTGGTTAATAAGCAACGAGGGTAGCAGTGTAGAGAGAAAGAAGAGCGCATATAATGACTCTCAAGTTAATGGACCTGAAACGGCAACTCAAAATCTCAATAAACGTCCTTATGCCGCTAGTTAGTTAATAAATAGGCCTTGAAATTGAACTTGCTGTTAATTTTGAAATATGAAATTTAATGATATGACAAATGTACATCAATCATGTATCTTATATAAAGTTTATTGAAAATTTTACTAGTATGCATAGTAAAACCGACAGTATATAGGATACACCGACATTGAAACGTGACAGCTAAGCATCCAATAAAATGTTGACTTTAAAGCATGCCTAATGTCACTATCTAAGCTATTACTAAGCTCAGGTTGGTCAATGCCCTTATTTCTCCCATTGCTACATATGCAGCTGAAACATGGACTCTCAAAAAAATCGATAGGAGTAAGATCGAAGCCTTCGAAATGTGGGTATATAGAAGAATTCTACGCGTGTCCTGGACAGAACATAGAACCAACCTGTCAATTCTGGAAGAGCTTCATATAAAAGACAGGCTACTAAAAAAAGTAAACCAAGCATACCTAACTTACTTCGGCCACATAGCTAGAAGAACGGGCACCATGGAACTATTGGTAGTAGAAGGAAAGGTAGAAGGCCGAAGACCAAGAGGAAGATCTCCAATACGATGGGTAGACCAAATGAAGAGTTTGGTGGGAAAATCCTTACATGAAGCCGTCCATATGGCACAAGATCGCAGTCAATGGAGACAGCAGACTAACAATATTTAGGGTGTCACTACGCCCTGACAAGGGCTAAAGGATTGAGGAGAGGAATGTCATCATCATTATCTGGGCTTTTTATACTGGCTTATTGTAAATTTATGTTGGATACATTAGTACCATTAACGATTTAAATTTACCAAGACAGAAATTTTGGGCGTCAAGTTTCACCGTCAACTCCAGTCGTCAGAGACGAAAATACTACCGAACCTCTAAAAATCAAATCCTACGAACAAGCCGAATTTTGCTGAGAATGTCAATTTTGGGAAATTGCAAATTGCGACCCAAAAAATGTGCAAAAAAGTTTGTCACTCCTACCTTTGAGCTTTCCTCTAAAACCCCCTCGCAGGTTGGGGGGCAACGATTAACAAATATTCTTTACGGCGTAAAAACAATGTAGATGCGATAATTTTAAACAAAAATGTTTATTAGCACTTTTTCTTTAGTTTGAACCATTCTTTCAGAAACAACGTTTGAAGCGACTTGATTTTTGTCGATAGGACACTCTGATCAAGAAATATCGAATTTTTACCGTCGAGTTAATACGAATTAACACTTCGAGCGTTGTTTGTGAGAGAACGGTTCATTCTACAAACAAGAGCTACTTAACATTTTATCAGTTCCAAATTATCCCAGCTACATTTTTTGTTTGAAACATTTTTTTCTACGGCGGCTAGATTCTTGGTAAATCGAGAAGATTCCTTCTGTGTCATACTTGGGTGTCCAATTCAGCAAGACTTTTAATTGAGACACAGATCTCCAACTCACAATAGATAGAGTTAGGAAGAGAGCTAATCTCCTGGGTGCTTTATCTGGTAGCAGAGGAGATACCAGTTCCAAAACCTTAATTGATACATACAAAACATTTACAAGACTCATTATTACAAGGTGTGTGTCTATGCGTCACTCAACAACAGGCTAACCAAGAAACTTTTAAACATCGAGAGGAAAATACTGCGGAAATGTATGAGGAAACACACGTACTATCCCTCTAGATTAATTCACCCACTTGCAAATTTGCACACAACAGAAAATAGAATCCATTCTCTCAGCAAGAGATATGGATTAAGAACTATAAATAGGCTGAACAAAATAGCTGAGCTGACCCTCAAAAGTCCTTGCCATCACACATGAATCACACAAAAAAAGTTCCAAACTTCTACACTAGACGGGTAAGGAACTTCCTGATGCAAGTTCTATAAACAACCCCCTCAAATATCGCAGATAAAACAAGCTGCAAGCTAAAAACGGTAATATAAGAGCAGTTCCTATTGTATATTTGGTGACAGACAGGGTACTTCCTCAACGAAACATGATTGGCCTCGTTTCTCTTTCCTAAAAAAACAAGCCACCTTCTGCATCCCCGCTGCGCTAGCAGCATACTGCCCCTCTTCCCATTTCTACTGACGTTTACTGCCATTCGAAACTCCTGCTAAAAAAGGGAGACTCTTCCTTGAAGAGGCATACCGTCTAAACAAGGTTAAGACGGACGATTCAGGTCAGATCAGCAAACTTTTTGCATCTTTTTGGGGTCCCATTCTCGGTATTCTCAGCATTCTCAGTAAAGATCAGCTTGTTCGTATAATTTTTAGATGTCAAATCTCTGACGATTGGACTAGTCGATAATAATATTTGATGTATGAGTGTAAACTATTGGAATTTTATATGAAACTTTATGCGGAGCTCTCGTCTGTCGTTATGTGGTCGGTGCATTTTATAGGCTTTAATATTGACAACAATCCCAAGAAAATGTTTACAAATTTAATCACATGCATGAATTAATTTAAATAATAAACAGCAAACGAGAACTTTAACAAAAAACTCATTTTTTACCATCATAATGGATTTTTGTCAGAATTTACTATTAAATACTTAATATTGTTCTGAAGCTTAATATAAGACTGATGTTCACTTATTCTAACATTTAATGGCCTTAATGTTAATAATAATTAATAGTAATTAATATTAAATACTTGACGTAATGCGTAGGGAAATCACAATAATTGATTGAACAGTAGCAAAAATGATACACAGTTTTTATTAAACTCTTCTTCTAGTGCCGTCTCCACTAATGAAGGTTGGCTATAACCATCGAAAATTCGTCTCTTTCTTCTGCTGTGTGTTTAACCCGGTCCAGTCGCGAATGTTTTTTAGCCAGGATATTTGTCGTCTACCAGGACCCCTTTTTCCTTCGATTTTACCCCTCATAATCAGCTGCAACAACTCGGATTTATCATTTCTAAGTATATGCCCCAAATATGCTGTCTTTCACCTTTTAATGGTGGCCAAAAGTTCTCTGTCTCTTCCCATTCTGTGCAACAGCATTTCGTTCGTAATATGATCGGTCCATGGTATCTTCAAAATTCTCCTAAAAAGCCACATCTCAAAAGATTTCAGTTTTCTCATTAAGTTAACATTAACAGTCCAGGCTTCGACGCCATAAAGAAGAATATAGTGGATATAACATTTTACCAACTGATATCAGATTTGCAGATTAAGTCTTTGGTTACACAGAAATTTTTTCATCTTCAAAAAGGATGCTCTTGATTGCTCTATTCTTGAGCGAATTTCTGATTTCGGATTTAGATCTTCCGTAATCCAGACTCCTAAGTATTTTATTTTGTCCACTTGCTCAATATCTTCATTTTTTATCTGGATCTTTGTAATGACTTTGCCCCTCTTACTGATAACCATGGTTTTTGTTTTCTTTATGTTTATTGTTAATTCAAACTGTTCCCCAGTATCACACATTGTGTTTTGTAACGTCTGCAGGTCTGTCTCACTTTCAGCGATAATGACTATCGTCAGCATAACGGATCTTATTTATATTTTCACCATTTATCTTGATCCCTTCTGTACAGTTTTCAAGTGCTTACGTAAATAACTTTTCGGAAGATATATTAAATAGTAACGGTGAAAGTACACAGCCCTGTCTCACTCCTCTACTTATCTGTTGCGAATATGTGCTATTTCCATCTAATGTTACCACAGCCTGTTGGTTCCAATAGAGATTTCTTTCTATGTTTTTGTAATTTTTGTCGAGTCCTTTTCTCTTTAGACATTCTACGAGAATGTTATATTTAACTTTGTCGAAAGTTTTCTCATAGTCTATAAACGCAATGACAAGATCTTTTTATCGGTCTCGACATATTTGGGCAAGAGTTGTGAACCTATACAGAGCTTCCACTGTTCCGAAGCCGTTACGAAAGCCAAACTGTATATTACTCATATCCGCTTCGCACTTCCTGAATATTCTTGCATATATAGGTATAATCTTTAAAAATGTTTTTAATAAGTGTGACATTAAGCCGATTAATCTATAGTCATTACAGTGTTTGGGGTTCTTGGTTTTTGGTAGCGGATAAAAGGTCAATAGCAGCCATTCCGTAGGTATCTCACCAGATTTGTATATGTTGTTGTTGTTGTTCTTCTTCTTCTAGTTCCATGACCGTTATCGATTGTTGGATATCATGTTGGCTACCATATTCGCTATCGTGACTTTATTGACAGCAGCTCTAAATAACGACGTAGTTGATTTTCCATACCATTGCCTTAGATTTTTCAGCCATGATGTTCTTCGTCTACCAGGACCACGATTACCTTGGATCTTTCCCTGAATAATCAGATGTAAAAGATCATATTTTTCAGGGTGTCTCATAATGTGACCGAAGTATTTCAGCTTGCGTTTCTTTATTATATTGACCAGTTGTGTTGTTTGGCTCAGCCGTCTAAGGACCTCCTCATTTCTAACTCTGTCGACCCAGCTTATTTTCAGTAGTCGTCCGTATACCCACATCTCAAAGGCTGCCAAGCGTTTAAGCATAGCCTCAGTTGGAGTCCACGCTTCCACTCCATACAGCAGGAAAGGAAAGATGTAGCAAGATGTCATACGAACTCTAAGGTCAATGCTAAGATCGTGACTGCAAAGTACGTTTCTCATTTTTACAAAAGCAGCTCGGGCTTGTTCTATTCGGCTTTTAATTTCTGCGGTTGGATCCCAGCTCTCATTGATATTACTGCCGAGATACACGAGTTTCTGTACTCTGTCCAGTGTGGCATCTCCGACTTTTATACCGTCATCCTGTATATAATTTTGTTTGCTAACAGGACTAAGGTATCGTGGGCATATCTAATATTGTTGACGGTTATTCCATTCACAATAATACCTTCGGTGGTCTCCATTAAGGCTTCCTTAAATATTTCCTCCGAATATAAGTTAAAAAGTAAAGGCGACAATATACAGCCTTGTCTCATATGTTGTTAGAGTATATTTTATTGCACTTAAATTGTCTTCTTCTGTAAGTTTAATCAGCTCGATATGAACTTCATCTGGCCCATGGGCTTTGCCAGATTTTGAGTTGTTTACAGCATGTTGAACTTCAGATTTTAATATTATTGGAGCTTCCTCGTTATCAATTCGTGTTGGTTCCGTTCTTGTGTCCATGAATAGTACATTGTTTACCGAGTAGGAAAAGCTTAACATTCCTGGACGACTGTGAAGATTGCTAAGTCGAGGCGCAAGTCGAGACTTAGCAACACAGAGTCCAGGAATGTGGCTTTTCCTACGAGGTAAACATACTATTTTTCCGCAAATCGTTTAAAATTCGACAGGTATTGATTGATTTAAAAAAAACGCGATAATTTTATTCCCAAATAAATGGTGCTTTGAAATTCCTAATAAAATTACTTGGGTTACTATGGAAACGTATTGAGGTTGAGTTGTCAAACTTGACGCTTATATATAACTGTACGGAAATATCATTTCCTTACAGTAAGGAAATGACATTTCCTTACAGTAAGGAAGTCCTGACTTTTTCTTCAAGAAATTTTGACAGGAATGTCAAAATTTCCTGGCGATTTGCGGAAAAAGATATTTAATGTATTTAGTCCATAGTTGTTTTATTTCAATTGGGTTATTAGGTTTATTATATTTGTCAATTAATCGGTTAGGTGTATTTGTTCGTGATTTGTCCAGATGATTCTTTCACTTTTTTATGTAAATTATAATGATAATGCTTTTTCTGCAATTCTTCAACTTCGATGCATGTTTCCATCATCCACTTTTCCTTAGCCTGTTTTATTTTGTTGCTTATTAATTTATGTTTTTCTCTCTACTTATTTGGGTTTTTGTTTCTATATTTATAGTAAGTAAGTTTTTTGGTGAATATCCACCCACAAGGATTGTGGAGAGAAAGTCGGTTGCAAGAGTTTACAGCAGTGGTGGAAATATATACTCCAAATGACATCAAAAAGGGGGTTTTTGAAATTAACGGACAATATATGCATGTAAGTCTAGTGACTACGATGGTTCCTATGAGGGTGCGAGGTTATCGGAAAACACAATTGTTTAAATACAATATATCAAAATGGGAAAACCGGCTGACCAAATATCACAAGACGGGAGACATTACCGCCTGCCATGAAAAAGGTTTTTATCAGAAATCTCCTTGGAGATAAATTACAAATGATTAAATAATTTTTTTTATTTGACCTTACGATTTGGAAATTAACACCTCAAATAAAAAATTAAACAAACTAAAACAGTTCCTAAACTAAGATGAAAATAAAATATCTAGTTATCAAGTTTAAGAATATATAAATATGTTGTTCCTAACTTTTTCGAAACCTAAAGTAAAAATTTTCAATTGTTGAAATTGTTTCTGAACAATATTTAAAAAGATATATTGTTATATTTCCTGATTATATATACCAGTTATAATAAAAGTAAGAGTCTCAAGTCATAAATAAATAAAATAAACTAACGGTATACCGCATACAAAAATAATTTTGTATGAAAATAATAAAAAAAAACCTAATCAAACGATAGTTGCAATATAAGAAGAAAGACAACCTTTTTGCAACTCTGTTTCCCTAACGTCTCGTTTTATAATATCCACATACGAATTCGAATTGAAATGTTTCAGTACTTTAACCCCTCATAGTTTATTAATAGTACTGGGTACGTAATGGCCGAGGCTCTTTTACTTGCTGGCTTAATGACATTACATTCTATAATTATATACCTAGTGTCAGTTAATCGGCAAACCGACGAAAACGACGTTGTTAAAACTTAGCAACGTAGATATTTATTACTCATGTAAGCTTGATGGATATGTTGGTTTGCAAGAAAAAACAATTAAAAAACCAGTAACTGTATAATGTATAGATAAGCTCAATATGTAAAAGTTTACTGTTAATATTATGAACTTTTGAATAAACCGCTAAAATCGTTCTCCACCTCTATAAAAAAAATCAAAACAAAAACTGTTTAAAGAATCAAAAGCGAAAAAGGTATTTTACATGTAAGGGCTTTCACAAAAATTTTTCTATTATAATAATCTATTTTATTAACATTTTTAGTATATGGTAAAGCTGCTAATTTGAAAAAAGGGGAAAAGCTTTTAAAACGATTTCCCCGACATGATCTCGGGATAAACAAAAAAGTTCAATAATAATGACTATAGATCGCAACTCCATGAACTCCAAAAAGATTTTTATAAGGTATACTACAAATTAATTTTACAATACAGTAAATAGTGTCGTACAGCACCTTGGGCCCTAGAGACCCACTGCCTGAATTTTTTCCATTACTTTTCTTAACTTTTTTTCTGTCAGTGGCAGTTATTCTCCTTGCAGCCCTGTACCTTGCAGATCATCTTTACTTGCTTCTAAACATTTTTTCGTGGACATCTTCCTCTTCTTCTAGACTCTTTACGTAGAGAAAAACGTTGAAATGAAACGTTCTTGCTGTTTCATATAGAGATTGCTGCTAGCGTACTCAGGCATGTTATGTATGTTACTATAACGACCATATAGGACGCATTTCATTTCCGTTTGAGCTAGTGTTCCTCATGAGAGCTGAATAGCAATAAACACATATAGAACAATGGTGGATTTCAAAATGAAAGATAAATGCCATCGTCTACTTTATTTTCAACGTCTTTTTTCTAAGTAGAAGGCGCAAAAACGGTGTTTTTCAAGAGTAAAACTGTGGATGTATTGTCGGAATAAAAGGTTTTTCCTAACATCGTCCAATAACTTCCAGTAAGCTTGGATTTGCGGTTCACCTAATTCGCGATCGAAGAAAAGTGTCATTGCTTCAACTATTTTTTGTTAAAAAAGGAAAACAAAGACTTTATCCTCCTTAAAAAAATCGCCTGCTCTTCTAAACAACTGATTTCAATTTTTTTAAATGGGTTTGACATCTATGCTCTCCAAGGGGCAAAAAAGCAGTGATTTATATAACAAATAATTTTTTACACAGCAAAGGTTGAATTTTTTCGAATTTTCCGGACAATACTAGATTGCAAAAATGTGTGCAAACAGTGAAAACTAGGTATAAAATTTTTCTTTACGATATTTTGTGACGCAAATATACTGGTTTAACAAAGAAATATCTGGATTATCGCTTAATGAAGCTTATTATTAAACCGTTTTGTATCATTAACTTGGGGCAAATTTTATAATGAGATATTCATTACAGCACAAAGGAATCATTAACTTCTTGCTATTTATTTTACGTCTTTCTTATTTGTATTTCGCAAAAATCTTTTTTATTTTGTTAATATTATTTCCATTAATATGTAAATACGTTTCTACAAAATGCGGGTAGACGCCAGAATACATCTGAAACGTTTCTCAAGGAAATCAATTGACACGAATTGCACGTTTTCGGTTTCTTGTTTTATGTTTACTTTTTTTACACTCTATATTCTCGTTCACACATGCAAAAAGCACTACCTATCGTAACACATATTCAATTTCTTCTTCAAGGTTGTCATATCGATGACTATTGAATCGGAAATTACAAACTTCTAATATAAACAGGACTGGTTTCAGTAGAATTTGCACAAAAAGGTGTAAGCTCAAAAGTCACAATATCTTTTATCGTCACATAATTGTGGAATAAGGCACAATTGAAGTTTAAAATAAGTTTATTGACGTTTCAATTTCCACTTCGGAAATTGTTCTCAAAATACAAACATTAGTAATGTGGCTGAAAATATTGCGTACGATAACAACACTTAAAAACAATCAGTCGTCGCACTAGATCTTAAGGCAGAACTATCAAAACCTACAAATCTAAGCGTTTTAGTATATTTCTTACTATAACTATACCATCGTTTTGGAGCCCTCCATGTGTTGAGTTTTTCAGAGCTTGCAATTTTTGCGAGCCTCTCATCGGCCATTCTACTGATGCACAGTACTATCATACTACTGATGACGATCACTCTCTGCGTCTCTGTGTAGTCAATCCTACGATATCCCAGACGGTCATAACATAACCTAACGGCCCCTAAGAGTATAATCAGCAATGGATCTTAGCGTTCTCATTTCAGTTGTCGTTTGTGAGCTTTTTGGTTGCAGCTATTTCCGCACTGGGCTCGATCACATAGGTCATTGCTAGTCTTACACAGGTCTTATATATATTCTCACTTTACTTCCTAGTTATTGTGCTTGTTCCTCCAGATAATATTCTGTAGGTATCTAGATGTCATTGGGACTCTGAATAGTCTTTTGACTTGCTCCTCGACGTTTCTGCTACTGGTAATGCTGACTCCTAGATATTTGAAGTTCATAACTTGCTCAACACCTTGATTGTTTATTGCTAGTTTACATCTCTTAGGTTCTTTGTTAATCGTGAATGGCTGTGCCTTCTCAATAGATATAACCATATACAATTTTTCTGCAATGTTTTGGAATCTTTATAGTAATCGTTGTAGGTTATCTTCTTCCTCCGTTATAAGTACTACATCAGCATAGCAACATATTTTAATTTCTTTGTTCCCATTCTGTAACGTATTCTTGTCGTTTTAACTTCTTTTATGATCTCATCCATCACCAAATTGAAAATAATATAATTATTGTGCTCAGGCTGTTTTCTGCTTCTATAGTTATTTTCTTAGTAAGCTGATCTTCGCTCTTACAAATGTACTGTTATTGGTATTCATTCCTTTGATAATAGCTCGAATCCGGGGGTTTATATTTCTAGATCTGAATAATTTAATAATATCTTCAAGTCTTGCTCTGTCAAACGTCTTCGTAAGGAGACGAAGCACATGTAAGCAGTTGCAAAGTCGTTGCTTTGAGCGATATAATCTTTGCATATCAGTTTCATAACAGTGCTTAAGAGACTTATCCCGCGATAGTTTTTGGGATTGTCTGTTTCAGCTGTTTTAATT